AGGGTTTAGGGTTTAGGGTTTAGGGTTTAGGGTTTAGGGTTTAGGGTTTAGGGTTTAGGGTTTAGGGTTTAGGGTTTAGGGTTTAGGGAAGCTTGGAGACCCTCAACCCTTAAAAGCCTCGAGGCCCCGAGAAGCTGCCAAGCCACGATGGCATTGTGGTGCCCGCCCGCGAAATGTCCGCTGACGTAGTCCTCAGGAAAATACCAGGCTCTAGAGTTTAGGGTTTAGGGTTTAGGGTTTAGGGTTTAGGGTTTAGGGTTTAGGGTTTAGGGTTTGGGGTTTGGGGTTTGGGGTTTGGGGTTTAGGGTTTAGCGTTCAGCATCTCAAGTCCAAGCATTCACTAGTCAAGCCCGCTACTCTGGTATCGAACATTTACCCACCCACCCTTTGGATCCCATAACATTAGGAAAATATTTTAGATTTCAATTTCCCCAAAGCACCGCTAAGCAAAACAGTCGTACTGTGGTAAACCCTTACCCTCAATCCTTAGGGCCTGAACCGTCCCGGGGCGTCCCCGAGTGGGCATTTGTCACGGAGAGGGAGGGAGGGGGGGAGGGAGGCGGGGAGGGAGGGGGAGGGAGGTTTGGGGGGGGGGAGGAGGGGCGGGAGGAAGGAGGGTGGGTGGTGGGGGAGTGGGGTTTGAGGGGGATGGAAGGGGGGAGGGAGTGGGTTAGGGAGGGGGGGGGGGGGGGGTGGGGTGGGGAGGGAAGGGGTGGGGGAGGGGAGGAAATTCACCGTTGCCCACTTTTTGAGGGCCAGGAAATTCACCGTTGCCCACTTTTGAGGCCAGGACATTCACCGTTGCCCACTTTTGAGGCCAGGAAATTGACCATTGTTAATTTTTGATCATGAGGCCAGGAAAGTCACCACTTTTGAGCCCACTTTTGAGGCCAGGAAAGTCACCGTTGCCCACTTTTGAGGCCAGGAAAGTCACCGTTGCCCACTTTTGAGGCCAGGAAATTCACTGTTGCCCACTTTTGAGGCCAGGACTGTCACCGTTGCCCACTTTTGAGGCCAGGAAAGTCACCGTTGCCCACTTTTGAGGCCAGGAAGTTCACCATTGCCCACTTTTGAAGCCGAAAATCACCGTTGCCCACTTTTGAATTAGGGTTTAAATTCATTCTGATAGAGAGGTTTAGGGTTTAGGGTTTAGGGTTTAGGGTTTAGGGTTTAGGGTTTAGGGTTGAGGGTTTAGGGTTTCGGGTTTAGGGTTTAGGGTTCAGGGTTCAGGGTTCAGGGTTCAGGGCTCAGGGTTCAGGGTTTGGGGTTCAGGGTTTAGGTTTGGGGTTCTTGGGGGTTTTGGGGGTTGGGGGTTTTGGGGGTTTGGGGGTTTGGGGGTCTGGGGGTTTGGGGGTTTGGGGGTTTGGGGGTTTGGGGGTTTGGGGGTTTGGGGGTTTGGGGGTTTGGGGGTTTGGGGGTTTGGGGGTTTGGGGGTTTGGGGGTTTGGGGGTTTGGGGGTTTGGGGGGTTGGGGGTTTGGGGGTTTGGGGGTTTGGGGGTTTGGGGGTTTGGGGTTTGGGGTTTGGGGGTTTGGGGGTTTGGGTTTGGGGGTTTTGGGGGTTTGGGGGTTTGGGGGTTTGGGGGTTTGGGGGTTTGGGGGTTTAGGGTTTTGGGCTAGGCCTCGCAGTGCATAGCTTCCAAAATTCGCCTCCTTCCCCCTAACCCAACCCTTCCCCCCATACCTTTTTCTTTTCTCTTGTTGGAGGAGCTGCAAACCGATTCTGTGGAGGGTCCCGCCTGTCGGTGGCTCCTACAGGGAAAGTGCCTCAAAACCCCCTCCCCGCCCACCCACCCCACCTCCCCCCCCTCCCCACCCCCCCACACCCCCCCCCCCCCCCCCCCCCACCCCCCGGCCCCCCCCCCCCCCACCCCCCCACCACCCCCCCCCCCCCACCCCACCCCCACCCCCCCCCACCCCCCCCCCACCCCCCCCCCACCCCCACGCCCCCCCCCCCCCCCCCCCCCACCCCGCCCCCCACCCCCCCCCCCCAACCCCCCCCCTTTTTTTGCGAAACCCTCTTTCCTCCTTTCCTGTCCTGGGGCCGGCCCGGCTGCCGAGGCGGCGCGCGCAAGCGTTTACAATTAGGTATATGAGCGCGGTAGGCTAGTAGGGCGGAGTGCCTTCAAGAGAGAGAGAGAGAGAGAGAGACCAAAAAAAAACTGCTTCAACAGATACGCTACCCTCAACCCGAATGTTTGCTTTCCTTAATCCCTAAACCCTAAACCCCAAAAACCCTAAACCCAAAAAACCCTAAACCCCAAAAACCCTAAACCCCAAAAACCCTAAACCCTAAACCCAAAAAACCTAAACCCAAAAACCCAAAGCCCATTCGACCCTGCAGGAGATGCACAGGTTCCTATTCTGAACGCCCGGCCCTGAAATCTCCAAACCTCCGATGGGTTTAGGGTTGAGGGTTGAGGGTTTAGGGTTCAGGGTTCAGGGTTTAGGGTTTAGGGTTTAGGGTTTAGGGTTTAGGGTTTGGGCTTGGGGTTCAGGGTTTGGCGCCGAGATGCGTGGCCATGCGCATCCAGGCCCACCTGGTCAAAACACCCTGAAACCCCAAAACCCTAAACGTGAAACCATAAACCTTAAACCCGAACTAAATGCAAAGCCCTTTGACCCTGAGCCCTTTGACCCTAAGCCCTAAGCCCGAAACCCTAAGCCCTGAATCTTATTAAACCCTAAGCGTGCATACCTAAAGCATTCTGGGTTTGGGGTTAACACCCGAAACCCTAAACCCTTAAACCCTCAACCCTCAACGCTCGACCCTCAACCCCCGACCCTCAACCCCTAAACCCTAAACCCTAAGACCTAAGCCCTAAACACCAAAAAGCTTCAACCCTCCACCCGAGGGGTTAGGATTGAGGGTCTAGGGTCTTCGGGGCGGGGGGGGCTGCAGCATTTCGTCCCCTGGGCCTCGGCATGATAGACAGCTTCAGTCGGGTTTAGGGTATAGAGTTTAGGGTTTAGAGTTTAGGGCTTAGGGTTTAGGGTTTAGGGTTTTAGGGTTTAGGGTTGTGCCAAAACTTAGCTCCTAAAGAGTACACGCAGCCCCTGTCATGCCAGCAAGCAACTCCCTGATTGCCGTCGTGGAAGTAGTGATGCACCTTTGCTGCCGGGCTCAACCCTAAAAACCCAAAAATCCCAAAAATTCTAATAACCCTAAAAACCCTAAACACATGCAGCATAAAATGCTTCTGCACGTACATTTTAGGTCCTCCTATTCTCCACCAAGCAGCCAAGGGCCCCATTTTTCAGGGACCGCAGACGACCCTAGAACCTAAACCCTAAACACCGTGTGAACCCGTGCTTGCAGCGGCTGGCATGACGGCTTCTCTCAACTTTGAATGTTGTTCTTTTTCCGTTCGGCCTCAACCTAAACCCTAAACCCTCAAGACAAATAAATAGAAATTGTATGTGATCTCATTCTGAATTTCCCAAGTTATTTCTCTAAACAGCCGACAAGCCGAGTTAAGTAAATTAAATCCAAACCGCCCCAGCCCCAGCCCCGGCCCCGCCCCCCGGAGCCCCTCACAAGGCCCAAGGAGGGCGCCAGGAGGTTTCAGGAGGCCCCCCCACAAGCCCCAGCAGACCAGACAATGCCAAGCACCAATGCAAAGCTCTCAATCAAGCTTGGGTTCGGAAGTTACCGGCTGTAACATGCGGTGGTCCTTTTGTTTCCATTTCGTCGCCATCACCGGCTTTCTTTCTATTCAACTTTCCCGAAAGTTTGAAAGGCTGGGCGGGCAATGTGCCTGGGAGGTCTGGCGAACCTATTCTGAAACCCATGGTTTTTCGTGCCGCATTGTAGTCGAAGTTCAAATCGAACTTGGGCTGGACCATCTTACCAGCTGCTGCTGGTTGTTGCTCCCTAGGCAGAGGCGGGTCGACCTTAACGTCGAACTTGGGCTTGACCGCCCAAGATTTTCTCATCAATGGGGCCAGCCGGGCGACACTGTCTTTGAGTTGCCCGCGCAATTCTTGCTTGTCGTTGAACGACACTTGCACGTGGTCCCCGTCTAGATCACCGACTCTGGCAGTGGATATCTTTACTACACATTACTGATGCAATTCGCAAAAGCACACTTAAAAGTATGAGGCGCTACGCTGCAGCACAGAGGTGCCTGCCATGAGTGTGTTGCCGTAGCCTTGATCGCTGTACGTGACGGTGTTATCGCCGACCGCCACACCGACAGGCGGTGTGACGGCTTCGTACAGCTGCAGGTCAGTGACGGTGTAGCATGGATATCGCCAAGCCTCCATCGGCAGGGAAGCGGATCTCGCAAAGCACGCACACAACCGAACATTTATCCAGGCACCCACGCAAAACATCTTTACTCGGATGCTCTGACCCGCAACCACAAACCATCCCACGAGGGCAACGCCGCCCCGGACGACATAACACTTGCCGGGCGGTAGATTGCTGGAGGTCTCGCAGACGGCCACCAACGTCTCAGACCTTCCCGGCCTACTGGAGAAGCTGTTTCGCAGATTCGAAGAGTCGTCGTCTTTGCTGCAACCCGGCAGCCCAGCAGCGCCACGCAAGCAGCACACAGAGAAGGATATGAAGGCTAGTCACCGCCAACCACAGCAAAGAGGCACAATTACTGTACAACCCAAGTTACGCCGGTAGATGTGGCTTGGGCCCTGGCCACTCTGGAGCTCGGGTTATCGCAAAAGATGGAACCGTCCTTGCTCCGCTACCGTGCAAGTTTTTCTCACTCGTGAAGAGCAAACGCCTGCATCGGTTTCTCTCATTTGACGCAGTTGGCCAACATGAAGAGAAAACACACAATTGGAGCCAGAGAGCCCGCATCACACTTTCAGGATAACTGGACAGAATCTACGTTGCAGAAAAGTCGGACCCAACACTGGCGCTTGTCTTTCAATCCTGAAAACCTATGAAGAAACCATGAAGCGGCTTAGAAGACTCTGCCTCTCCATCTACAGAAGACACTGACTTGGATTAGGGGCTGCAGGTCTGGCGCGTTGAGGGTGTCAAGTTTCTGGTTGGTGTTTCAAGCATAAGGTAGGTTGTTTTGAAGTTGAGGTGAATTTCATGACTTTGTTGGCGAAGCTGCTGCAAGGCGTGGCCTTCCCCCAACTGCTTCTTGGCAAAGCCCTCTGCACGTTGTAGGCGCTTCACACCTCGACCGTCTGGGGTACTGGCGACCAACCGAAGCAAGTCTGGATCACAGGAAACAAATACAATGTCCCCTTCGTAGTCCCGCCGGCCAGGCTGATCACGCCCATGCCGCGGCAACTGCAGATGATACAATTGTCGGGCACGAAGCGCATGTCGCTTGGACGAGGAGGGGCGCGCTTCCCAAATCTCGAGGTCTCCAGGCAGCATCAGCGGCGACCGCCGCACCACCACGGGGCCAGTCAAGACCTTGCCATCGACGATCACGTGACCAGCCCCGAAGCCCTCGAGGGGCAAATGAGGGTCGCTTTGCTGTCGTTGAACCTCAGCTTTGAAGCGCCGCCCGCCGCGCAGCATAGCCTCCTTGGCCCGATACGTCCGGAAAGCCCACGGACGTTCCACCTCCTCAGCCATCTGGGTAGGATCAGTGACGCGCTCCTCCTGGTAGGTGACCTCAATTTTGTCCTGCGGGATGCCGTGGGAGCTGCGTGGCCTGCAAACAGCAGGCTTGTCGCTTGCGGCAATCCGCTCCAGCTTGTGGGGGCGAGACGGCGCCGGTTCGGGGCGGGGTAGATCCCAGGCGTTCGCTTCCATGGCAGCCAGCAAGCTGGCCTGCCGCTCAGCTCAAAACTCCAAGGCTCCGCCTTGGCTTCCTTGCGCCCAGGGATCAAGCACGAGCGCATGGCAAGAGCCGACAGGACTTGTGCGTGGAGCTTGGGGACACCTTGTGACCTGTTGCTACCTTGAACAACGTCAAGGCCCAGCTGAATGTCAGTGTCTGGGTCTGCAGGCCACTCCGCCTTGACGCAGGACTGGCGCACGTGCAATTTGTTCCCCAGTTTTGCATTGACCATCATCATGCCTTTCACCAAGACCGTTCGATCACCAACGCGCAACACACCACGGAATTGCGGGGCCGCATAAAGCAAAGACCGCTGACTCGGGCGAAGGCGCGGACTCGCCTTGCACGCTGGGGCCGCAGGGGGTTGCAGCGGCCGCCGCCTGTGTGAAGATCACAACATAGAAATGAACGCTCATCACGATTACCGGCCCAAACCTACCTTGTTTTCCTCATCCCACATGTCGGCCCAGCTCGGGCCGCGGAAGAACTCCGAGCAGTTGAGCAAGCAGCCACAAGGGTACGTAGCACATCTCCGCCTATCTTGACTTCCAGCCGAGCCTGTCCGGTGCTGGAAGGATCGTGGGAAGAAGCGAGCCATGTCAAGCAACCTCACAATGGCACCAAGCACGAGCACACAGCAAAAGAGCACAGCCGTTTTAAGAAGCGGGCAAAAAACAGGAGGTAGGCGTTGTAGAGCTCAGAAGCTTCGAGCATTCAACTCGCAATCATGACACGAGCATATGCCGCCAACGATTATGAGCAAGAGAAACCCGAGCGCTTACTCGTGAATTCTGTGAACAAATTGAGCAATTCACTCAGCGATGCTCTAGCTGCTGCTAATGTGAGTCTCCTTAATGTTGTTCCCACATGCACACGTTGGACAGCACGGACGACCCTACACGATTTTTTTCAAGCAGGAAAAAACTTGCACGCTTTCAGCACTGCTTCCCACCAAGATTGCAATGAAGCTGCTCTTCATTGCAATCGTTTCGATGGTAAAGCGAAAACCTACACTCTTTGCAATTTCGCGGCTTCCCCCCCCCCCCCCCCTTTTTTCCCCCCCCCCCCCCCCCGTCCCGCACCCCCTGCCCCGCCCCCAATGCGTAGCAAGGGCTTCATATGATCCAGTTGACATGGCTGCCGTGGGAGTTGCGGCGGTTGTCCTCTTGTCAAGTTAGCGTTGGCGCATCGATATGTATGCTGCTGTTTGTCACCCCTTTCGTGTCGCCTATTCATTTTGACTTCTGGGCGGTTCCAATAAGCTTGGAAACAGAGGTTGGGTCTCAAGAAAACACACTATGATTTCAAACCCTTCTCGAAGATCCAAGGTTGTGATATCCTTGCAATTGTCAGTCAGTTTGCTTTTTCGCTTATTGTACAACACACGAGAAACAACGCACACCAAACTCAGGAGACACTTTAAAAAGATACGTTTGGCCCGTGCTGCGGAAAATTGATCCGACCCCCGACCAGAGCGCCAGCTGCCCACAAACGCACGACGGAACAACTCCAGTCTGGCAAGAGCAGATGCGACAATTTAGGACCTCGACCTCGCGGAAAAAAAACGCACACCAAACTCAGGAAGCGTGTGCAAGTATTTAAGCCCGCATCCTCCCGAAAAAAAGCGCGCGGCAAACTCAGGAGACACTTTGTAAAAAAATGTTGGCCTCGCCGCGGAAAATTGGTTTGCCCCGGACCAGGAGGCCTGTTCGCCAAAAATCCCCAGCCCCCAAGAGTCCGCCCGCAAAAAGCGACGACCCACAAAACAGGCCCCAGGAGAACCCTGCAAAATCCCAAAAGCCCCAGGAAAGCCAAATGGCTCCGGCAAGCCCCTCCGAAAACCCCCACAGGTCCCAGAAGCACAAAAACGGACCAGCTCACCAGGCCCACAAAAAAGTACAACAACAGGATCCAAAGTCAAAACTTTCGGTCAAAACGTTTCGGTCAAAACTTATTGGGACACAAACCCTGTACAACTTCTATAAACCCTAAACCCTAACCCTAAACCCTAGACCCGAAACCCTATACTCATAAACACCGAAACCAGGCTTGCCAAAACATGGTAAATTCTCGTAAAGAATGTCAAGGGTTTGAGGTTTAGGGTTTAGGGTTTAGGGTTTAGGGTTTAGGGTTTAGGGTTTAGGGCTTAGGGTTTAGGGTTTAGGGTTTAGGGTTTTGGGTTTAGGGTTTAGGGTTTAGGGTTTAGGGTTTCCTGGGTTGAGGGTTTGAGGTTTAGGGTTTAGGAAGACTCCTTAAGCCGACAGAGGGAGAGAGAGGGAGAGAGAGAGAGAGAGAGGCAGAGACGATGTGGCGGGGCTTCCCAACACAGGGTTCAGGGTTTAGGGTTTCGGGTTTGGGGTTTTGAGTTGAGGGTTTGGGGTTGAGGGTTGAGGGTTGAGGGTTGAGGGTTGAGGGTTGAGGGTTGAGGGTTGAGGGTTGAGGGTTTAGGGTCCTCTGGGCCTCAAGATGACATCTGCCGAGCCGCGACGACGGTGTGGCTGTTCGCGTGCGCTCCGTTGACGTAATCCTTGTGGAACTTCAGCATCTACGCCCGACGGACGGGAGAACAAAACTGCTTCCACGAGGTAACTCGACACACGTGACAAAGCGAAGAAGGCTTGAAACATGGGGGTCTCTTCCTGAGGGTCCCCTCTCCCCTTCGGGGGAAGGGGGGTTGAGCAGTACTACTGCATTTACGCAGTCAGCTCTCACCGTCAAGTGAAGAAGCTAATCAACAGCCAGTGCGGATGCGCAATATCCCGAGAGTCCTAGACCGCGAAACCCCAAATCCTAAACCCTAAACCCTCAACCCTAAACCCCAAACCCTAAACCCCAAACCCTAAACCCCAAACCCCAAACCCCAAACACTAGACTTTAGGGTCTCGCATGCTGCCGAGAGGCGTGGCCGTGCACATCCAGGCCCACCTGGTCACAAACACGAGACGGCCCCAACAAACCCTGAAACCCTAAAGAACAAAACCCCAAACCCCACACCCCAAACCCGAAACCCGAAACCCTAACCCTAAACCCTAAACCCTAAACCCTAAACCCTAAACCCTAAACCCTAAACCCTAAACCCTAAACCCTAACCCTAAACCTCAATCCCGCAGGCCTCTCAACCTGAAACGTTCTCCCAGAAGCCCCAGCCCAAAGCACTCCCACAAACCTAGAGCCCCACAACCTAAAGCGGTCGCCCAGGAAACCCGAAGCCCTCAACCCTCAACCCTAAACCCTAAGCCCCTCAACCTAGAGCGTTCTGGGTCTGGGGGTTGGGGAGGGGGGGGGGGTAGGGGTTAGGGGTGAGGGGTTAGGGTTTAGGGGCCACCCGTCTGATTCCGTATCTGCCTTTCTTGTGGGGTTCTTCGACTTTGGTTCAGGGATGTTCAGGGGGTGTGAGAGTTGGGTCAGGGGGTTTAGGATTAGGAGCACTAAACCCTGAACCCTGAACCCTAAACCCTAAACCCTGAACCCTAAACCCTAAACCCTAAACCCTAAACCCTAAACCCTAAACCCTAAACCCTAAACCCTAAACCCCAGGGGCTCGGAGGGGGGGTCGGTGTTCCGGACATCCTGAGACCCGGACCATGGGTGTGGCTGCGTGGTGCCCGGAGTGGAAGTGGAACTGCCAGGGTTTGGGGTTTAGGGTTTCGGGTTTCTGGTTTAGGGTTTAGGGTTTAGGGCTAGGGTTTAGGGTTTCGGGCTTAGCGTTTAGGGGATGTAAGGGATTTAGGGGATTTAGGGGATTTAGGGGAATTAGGGATTTAGGGTCCTGATAACGCCCCTGAACCCTGAAACCCCAGCCAAGCGCCACGCCTCTTGCGAGGCGGCGGGTCCGTAGACCTGTCGTTCGGGAGTTTGGGGCTGAGGGCTTCAGAGTTGAGGTTTCGAAGATTAGGGTTTAGGGTTCCGGTTTAGGGTTTAGGGTGTACGGCTTGGGGCATAGGGTTTAGGGTGTAGGGTTTAGGGTTTAGGGCTAGGGTTTAGGGCTAGGGTTTAGGATTGGGGTTTGGGGTTTGGGGTCTAGGGGCCATGCTTCGACTTCAGATTCGGCGTTTCCTGTCTGATTGGGCCGCCCTGCTGGCACGACGCCAGCAGGAAGCCGAGAACTCCAATTGGCTGAGGGCTTAGGGTTTAGGGTTTAGGGTTTAGGGGTTTAGGGTTTAGGGTTTAGGGTTCAGCATCTCAAGTCCGAGCATTCACTGGTCGGGCAGCTTGTCAAGCGTTAGAAATACACCCACCCACCCAAGAAACCCATAACATTGAGAAAATACAAACCTCACTCAATACATTCCCGGACCCAAAACCCAAGTCTAAACCCTGTGACCCTAAACCCTTGAGACCCTAGACCCTTCAACCCTTGACACCCTAAACCCTTGAGACCCTAAACCCTTGAGAACCTGAACCTTTGAGACCCTAAACCCTTGAGACCCTAAACCCTTGAGACCCTACACCCTTGAGACCCTAAACCCTTGAGACCCTACACCCTTGAGACCCTAAACCCTGGGGGGGACCGGGGCGGGGGGGGCCGCGGGGGGCGTGGTGGGGGGGGCGGGGGGGGCGGTGCACAAGAAGCCCCGGACCGGGACAAGGAAGCAAAAATGCCCACAAGCATGCAAAAAGGAGAAGGGAAGCAGGCAAATTTGCCCTAAATTTTGCCGCCCACAGGGGTCATTAAGGTTTAAACTATATAGGTAAGAGAGGGCTTAGGTTGAAGGGTTTTGGTGTTTCTTGATCTGGATTCACTGGTTTAGGGTTTAGGGTTTAGGGTTTAGGGTTTAGGGTTCAGGGTTCAGGGTTAGGGTTTAGGGTTTAGGGTTTAGGGTTTAGGGTTTAGGGTTTAGGTGTTTAGGGGTTTAGGGGTTTAGGGTTTAGGGTTTAGGGTTTAGGGTTTAGGGTTTAGGGTTTAGGGTTTAGGGTTTAGGGTTTAGGGTTTAGGGTTTAGGGTTTAGGGTTTAGGGTTTGGGGTTAAGGGTTAAGGGGGTTAAGGGGTTAGGGGTTAGGGTTTAGCTCGTGGATCCCGATCCCCCATGGAGTCCTAGACCTGAAATGTTAGTTTGAGTTGAGGGTTTAGGGTTTAGGGTTTAGGGTTTAGGGTTTAGGGTTTAGGGTTTAGGGTTTAGGGTTTAGGGTTTAGGGTTTAGGGTCTGGGGTTTAGGGTTTAGGGTTTAGGGCTTAGGGAACCCTATGCCCTTGAACTTCAAACAATGAACCCCAAACACCCTAAAGCAGCGGGCAGTGGGAGAGGGAGGAGTTCAGGATTCAGGGTTTAGGGTTTAGGCTTAGGGTTTAGGGCTTAGGGCTTAGGGCTTAGGGTTTAGGGCTTAGGGTTGCGCCTGTGAGCTGACGTGGGCAGGTGCGCCGGAGACCTCGACCCAGGGGATGCTGGGAGGGACCACTAGCCTATATAACCTGTACACAAACACACACACACACACACACACACACACACACACACACACACACACACACACACACACTTCTTCGGGTTTAGGGTTTAGGGTTTAGGGTTTAGGGTTTAGGATTTAGGGTCTAGGGTTTAGGGTTTAGGGTTTAGGGTCTAGGGTTTAGGGTTTAGGGTCCAGGGTCCAGGGTTTAGGA